ACTACACAGGGTCACAGGGCAAGCATCAGGTTTTGGTGAGGAGGCAGCAACAAGCAAGGAGAAAGTCTAAGCCACAGCCTTCATTGGAGTTTCCTCAGAAGAGACAGGGTAGAATCAACAGTTTAGGACTGGCTAATCTGGGTAATTCCGGTGGGCTTTGGACTGTAAGATACCTGGTCCTGGGATGATTTAGTACAGGGTGAGTGATGGTTTGGTATGTGAAAGATAAGGGAGATGGTTGGCTTGCATGAGAGGCATTCTCCCAAATATGTGGTTAACTGACCTTAGGAATTAGCTAACCCTGGGAGGATAGTCTGACCCCAGGTCTGTAGGGCCCCCCAGAGGTCAAAACATTGGGGGAAAAAAGGAAAATATACTTAATATGGCCTCCCAGCAAGCAGATCCTCCAGCTTCAATCAAACTTTCAGATGCCTGCAGCCCTGGCCAACATCTTGAATACAGCCTCATGATTCACTTTTACCACCCAGCCTGCTAGCTCCCAAATTCCGCATCTATAGAAATGATGAGAGAGAATGTTTATTGGGATTTTTTTATAGATATTTTTAATTTTGATATTGTGGGGTACAGTTAAGGGTTAGGTATACAAATATGCTTCATTCAGGCCCCCTTGTTGATAACAGGTGTCTCCCTGTCTCCAAACATGTTTACTACCATTAGTCCCACCCACCCCCGTTTACTGTTTTAAGCCAATAGTTTTGGGGTACTTTGTTCCTGGCAATAGACAACTAAGGTCGAGGTGGGAGAGGTGATGAAAGGGTAGGGATGTCTTGTCAAAATAGCAACAATAAATATGGTCATGTTTCCCTTCTGTGTCTCTGAAGTCAGAAAAATAAGTAAATAAAAATGGCTATGTTGCTGGGCGCCGCGGCTCAAGCCTGTAATCCCAGCACTTTGGGAGGCCGAGGCAAGAGGATTGCCTGAGCCCACAGGTGCAAAACCAACTTGGTCAACTTGGTGAAACCTCGTCTCTACGATAAATCAAAAACTTAGCTGGGCGTGGTAGCACACGCCTGTAGTTCCAGCTACTTGGAAGACTGAGACAGAAGGATCGCCTGAGCCCAGCAGGTCAATACTGAGGTGGCTGTGAGCGATCCACTGCACTCCTGCCTGGGCAATGGAGTGAGACTCCAAATCAAAAAAGAAAAAAGAAAAAAAGGCTATGTCACAGTTGCAGGGTGTGAAAAACACCGGAAGTACTGGCATGGCCCACCCCTCACCTGATGCTCCCAGCTGCCTCCCTCATGCCCAGAAGTAAATCCCACATAGATGATACAGACAAGATTACACAAAGGAATTGTTATACAGTCAGGGGCAGTTTGGGCTCAAACTAGAAAGGCTGAGTAATTATAGCTCCTGCTTCTACTTAGGGTGTGTGTGTGTTCTGTTCCCCTACAATATGGATTTGCGGGTGGGATTTCTGGATGATAGATAGGGAGAGGAAATGGATGACTTACTTCTCCGAGAACTCCCTTCTGCTTTGCTTTTCTAGTTTTTTGTGTGTGTTTTTGTTTTTGTTTTTGAACAGGGTCTTACCCTGTCACCCAGGCTGGATCATAGCTCACTGTAGCCTCCAACTCCTGGGCTCAAGTGATCACCCCACTTTGGCCTCCCAAATAGCTGGGACTACAGTGCAGCTAATTTAAAAAATATTTTTTGTAGAGGGCTTATTATTGCTTAGGCTGGTCTCAACTCCTGTCTTCAAGGAATCCTACCTGGGGCTCCAAAAGTACTAGGATTACAGGTGTGAGTCACCACACCTGGCCTTCTTCTAGTTTGGGGGGAGACTTTTTATTTGTTTTGAGTCTGTGTCTCTGTCGCCCAGGCTGGAGTGCACCGCTCACCACAGCTGCAATCTTTCTGCTTTAGTCTCTCCAGTGGCTGGGACTACAGCCTGCACCATCACGCAGGTTAATTTTTCTTTCTTTTTTTTTTTTTAGTTGGAGTTTCACTCCGTCACCCAGACTGGAGTGCAGGGGCTCCCAGCCACCACAGCCTCGACCCACTGGACTCCGGCGATCCTTCCACCTCAGCCTTCCAAGTAGCCGGAATTACAGGTGCGCGCTACCACGCCCGACTGATTTTTGATTTTTTTTATTGTAAGAGATGAGGTCTCGCCAAGTGGCCCAGGCGGGTCTCCAACCCGCGGGCTCAGGCAATCCACTCACCTCAGCCTCCCAAAGGTGCGGGATTACAGGCTGAGCAATTTTTATATTTTTTGTAGAGACGAGGTCTCTCTATGTTGTCTACCCTAGTCTCGAACGCCTGGGCTCAATCTTCCCACCTCAGCCTCCCAAAGTGCTGGGATTACAGGCTACCATGTCTAGTGTCTTATACGACATTTAAACAAGACACTGCAGAAGGGCACACACTGAAAAGTAAACGGCTTGTAGTTTTGTTTTCTTTTTTGAGTCGGAGTCTCACTGTCACTCAGTCTAGAGTGCAGTGGCACGCTCATGGCCACCACAGCCTCGACCTGCTGGGCTCAGGCGATCCTTCTGCCTCAGCCTTTCAAGTACCTGGAACCTTAGGCATGCGCCACCATGCCCGTCTGACTTTTATAAAATTTATTTATCGTAGAGAGGCGGTCTCGCCGTGTTACTCACGCTGGTCTCGAACCCCTGAACTCGCGCAGTCCTCTCGCCTCTGTCTCCCAAAGTGCTGGACTACAGGTGTGAGCCATCCCGCCCGGGGGGCACGCAGTGTTCAATGCGTACCCTTCTAGATATTCCCTTTGCATTTGGCCTAGAGGTAAACACGCATATATGTAAACGTGTATTTGCTTTAGTTTTGGCCAAACGGATTCGAGCTCTCACGCTGCTGCTACGACTGCGGGTAACTCGGGAGCAGTCGTGTCTCCCCCTCAGGCCCTTCTCGGCTGGCAGATCCTTGGACGCAGGGACTGAGCCCGCCCTATCCCCACCCC